GCAAGCAGAGGGTTTTGGGATAAGTTACCCATCTATACTGCTGAAGCAAATGTCTAGGGATCCCTGAAGAAACCCTTGGATGAGATCCTCTGACTGATGAGCTAACAGAAACATGCAGTAACCACGCTGAGTCGAACAGCCTCCTGACATTTAGACCCTTTCCCATATGATCATGCGTCTCTATGAGCTGGCATGACGCAGCCCTTCTCAGTTCCTGGCCAGACTGGCTGCAGCTACCAGTATATGCTTAGCACTGACTACTGCAGAGGCTGGTGTTACTCTGAGGGGAGGTGGTGCACCTGGTCTGTGAATAGCTCCAGGACGAAGGTGGCCACACTGCCATTGATGCCAATGAAGAGGTTGAGGGAGGTGAGCACCACATAGGCTGTGCTGGGCACGCTGAAGAGGAAAGAGGCTGGGTACATGAGGGGGGTGATGGACCAGCTGCCAGGGACAGAGAGAGAGAGGGGCACATACATCAGATCACTGTAACTCAAAAAATAGACTGCCTTCAAAACACCTATATGTTGCAGGACTACCTTTTCTTTTCCTTCAAACTTTTTTTCTCCCTAATCTCTGAAGAAAATATTGCAATTCATAGAATTCAAAACCCTTTTGAAACCAGTCATGTCAGGATAATTAACCCTGGGATATCAGTGGGCCAACAGGGCCAAGATTGGGAAACGCCCGCACAAAGAGACATAGCACCTGACCAAGCTTGCCCTGGAGCTCTTACCCATACAGCAGGAGCAGCAGCACTAGGGCGGGCAGGTTTGTAGGGGAGACGTAGGACTGCTGTTGGAAGCACAGGAAGATCAGCACCACCATGGTGGCAGGTACCGTATAGTTACACTGCAGGGAGACAGGAGACAGGAGACATCAGAAACATGAAATGTACAAATATCCTAAGCTAAGCCATTAAAAAGGCCTTAGAAAAGCTATCCAAGCTACGTCAAAGGAAGTAAGCATGGAAAGATGATTAGTGTTGGCTGATCCCTGCAATATGCACTGATGATGAATGAAGTTGAACTACTCAAAGATTTTATACTGAGGTTCTGGGCAGGAAGCGCCAGGTAATCACCATGTCCCAGGTGAAGTTGGCGAGCCAGTAGACGATGGGTTTCACGCCGCTCACAAACTGCAGGTGCTTGGCTTTGCTGACCCGCTCCTCGATGAGGAAGAGCACAAAGCTGGCCGGCACAAAGGACATGGCGAAGATCACGCAGATGGACACCAGCACGTCGACTGAGGTGGCCATCCTGTCAGGAAACAGGAAGAGGAAGACATGTGATGTCACTTGAAGCGCATCTGCCAACTCAACAAGCATCTGTTAAAAAGTCACCTCCTGACGACGCCAAACAGTTATCAGTGATCAAGGAAGGACACCTTGAACCACCACAAATGCTATGCTTTTCTGACTCCTCTAGTAATGAAATCCAGTATTTTTAAGAGTGGAAGAACTACTGCAGGCAGTTTGGATCTGGTCTGTAAGAACTCTGCAGGATCATGTCATCGAGTCCCTGCAGCAGGTGGTAAAATCCATGCAGGGTCCTCACAGTGCCACTTCGGTCAGCTGCTCCTTGGTGAGGTTGAGCGGGTGGTTGAAAGCCGTAATGCCATGCCGCTGTCTCTCGGGGCCCGGAGGGAGGCTGGCACGCAGGAGGCCGTTGCTCATGATGTTGAGGAAGGATGCCATGGCGTGCCAGCCCTTGTTATTGAACCACACCTGGAGAAAGAGAACATGTATCTGCAAAACACATTCACAAACACGTCCCGCAAATAACAACCTCTTTACTTCCCTCTGCTGCCCAAGATGTTCAAAACAGTTCAATACTGGGAAAAATGTGCACTTGCAACGAACTGAATGAACAGAAGTCAAACTGGTAAGAGTCTGTTCTTAGAATTGTTGACTTGCCGTCATAGATTTCTCTGCATTTAAGTGTAAAGGTTAGAAGATGTGTAGACATTTTAAGAGAAATGCTCATCAAAACTGAAGCAATTTCAGTATGTAAATCTACTCAATGCTTTAAAAGCTGCATGTCTGCGCTGTCTCATTCGATGTGCAAATCCACATCCAGTACTTGTCTTGTTCCTTTCTCACCTTGACATTGTTCTGGGAACTCAGCCTGCTAACAAACCCTGGCAATCTCTCCAGCAGCCTGTCCAGGGAGCCATTCTGGAGAGAAAAGGGTTAAGGATGTTCAGGATAAGAGGCAAAACACTTAAGCCACTTAGATGTGCATCTTTCTCAGACATCCTAAAGCCATCTACTATTTATTCCTTTATAAACTAAATTTATAACACATTCAAACATACTGCATTAACCACACTGCATTGCTCCATGCAGTCAGCTACAGTTAAGATAAGATCACTTTATTGGCCGTATACAATTTCTTGCATTAGGAATTTGTCTTTTCGCATACCCCAACTTGCTCTCCATGAGACACACAGGCACACAGACGGGGAGAGAGAAGCTTAGGGTCAGAGTGTAGGGTCAGCCATTTATACGGCGCCCCTGGAGTAGCTGGGGTTAAGGGCCTTGCTCAGGGGCCCAACGGAGTAGGATTCCTCTGCCGGATGTGGGATTTAAAATCGGCAACCTTACAGCCACAAGCACAGATCCTTAGCCACAGTCCCGCTGAAGAATGGTAAATGGCAATAAAAGAAAATTCTACAACTACAGACGGTTGCTACCTCGTCCACTCTGAACCGTGTTCTTATTGCCAGAACCATCTGTTTGACCTGCTGGCCTGAAGGTAGGACCTGAGAGCTGCGGGCACCCACAGAGAAACCGCCGTACCTGACGGGCACAAAGACGCAACATGGACAGTTATTGCTCCTTCACTGTAAGCCCACCACAGCACATCCTCCATCTCCATTCTTCTCTACAGCTGCACATCTCTCAGTTCTACAGATACTGCAGCTTCACTCAGCCCAAGACAGCAGGTAGGTGAAATAAGAGCCTGAACTTAACACGACAACACTCTTTAGCAGCACCAGGCAGAAAACATGCCAGTTCTCCTTTACTAGAAGGTCCGGGGTTCACACCAAGGTAAGATAACTGTTGATCCAATAACTGTAGAGGTATAAGCAATACTTTTTGTTACAGGCTTTCGTCCTCCAGTACCACTCACCTGAACTCATTAACCCACTTCTTAGTCTTCAGGCTGGAATGGAAAGAGAGCAAGAAAGCACTTGTGAAGAGAGAGACCACCAGCACAAAGTTCATCGAGATAGATACAGAAATAAAAAATGAGGGGTATTTTAATGTCCTGTGACAGTATCCTGAGATATTCTGATGGTCAGGTGTGTTGGGCAGCTGGAGAAGGGCACTCTGGGTTCTCTAAAGTTCCTATCATGCTATTGAGAATGAAAGTACGTTTGTTCAAGATAACTGCACTTTGGAGACCATCTGAAAACATTATCAACAAACGTGAGCAGGTTTAGATGTTGTTCACCTCTTGCTGAGAATCTGGGAATAAGTCTTGACCAGGTAGTCGGACAGATTACGCCCAGTCAGATTCTGCAAGATGTCTCCAGTCATTCTTTTGACCTGGAATAAAATGAAGAGAGAGCATCGAGATGTTTTTTCACAGGGTGCCTGGGCAAATTTGGATTCCAGTATTGTTTTAAGTATTTTCCAATTTAGCAGACATGTTGACTCTTAACAAGAAAAGAGCCATTTGAAAAATCTTCACTAGCCATCTACAGTATATAAGCTTAAGATGATTGATCACATTTTCAATCTTCTTTAATGCACAGCGAATTGTTTCTACTACTAGTTCCCTAATGAATTATTAATAATGGTCTCTACTCCTAATTAATGGGATTCATTGCTCTAGAAAGGAATTCAAACTGGGGATCAAAATAAACTACAAAACTACCCACACATTCAGAAGACAAGAAAGGTAACAACCAAGAGGAGGTATTTGCCAAGAGAGTGTGGACATTCAAATGCAATGGACCTCTCTGGGGTCTGGCACAGGTGCGGAGTGTGCGTGTCAGTCAATGACCTGTGGAGGAGGCAGCCCACCAGCTCCCTCTGGGCACTCGGGTAGCATCCTGCGGATCTCCTCCGAGCTGCACTGGCAGCCGGGCGAGGGCCGATCCGAAGTCCAGTTGCCGTTGCTGATCAGCTCCATGACAGCCGGGGGCACCGCTGGCATTCGAAATTCCGTGCCTCCATCCGTGCACTGAGCTTCTGGACCCGAGGCGTTCCCGACGCTGGACAGGACAAGGAAAATCCTTCTCACCTCTCGGTTCTCCGTTCTCACCGCCTCCTTCCGAACGCACTGTCAAACTCCCCGCCTGTCTTGCGGCTTACCCAGTACTGCCGGGCGAGTACAGGAAATAAAATCCGGCCAATACTTGTCACACACCAAAAAGTGTGGATTGACTGCTCCAAAAAGATCTCCTCCCACCCCAACTTGGAGCACCCTTTCAACTTCCCAGTATTGATTAGCAGTGCAGCAAAAGTGCCTGCAGTGGAAAACCAGATTTAAA